AATTAAAACTTGCTGTTAAACACAAAATTCATTTCAAAATAGTTTTATTTCAACACAATGGACTCTTTCCTTCCTATGTCGGGTGAATGCACACCTCTCCGGCCTCGCTCTCCCAGTTGAAATGTGTTACTCGTTGTTTGACTTCAATGAAAGAAGTACGCTTTCCACGAGGTCAAATTTAGAAAGTTACAAATAAACTACATCTTAATTTTCTTAAGAAAGATATTCCAATTAAAAACGGCTCAGAGTCAACGTGCTTTTCATTTTGAGGCTAATTTTGTTTTTGAACTGAAAGCATATGACACTAGTTGACAATTTGTCAGCTTCTATAAACACTGCTGTGCCGCTCCGGTGGGCGAGTGAAACAAAGGTTTCATTATTCAACGTTTTTTCATGTGTGGTATTTTGGAACATAGATTAATTAGATTTTCTGGGAGTCTGAAATATCAGAGCTGCAAAGTCAACCATAAAGGCTTCAAACCCGTTGAATTAACACTGCAGCTCTAATCTTTCAAGAGAGAGATGGAATCATGTACTTGTTATTTATTAGGTGTTTTACTTTCAGAAATGTCGTCTCTTTTTATAATGGGCGTCGATCTTCTGTCATTACTATATCAAATTACCTGAAATTCAAGTCTTTTCGATTTTATTCGACGCCAAGCTCGTTGAATTATGGACGCGCATTCATTCTGCGAAGAGAACAAACATTCTGATGTTAACAGTTAATATCAGTATATAAGAAATCCATGATCATCACATAAACTTCCAGTTTTAGCTTCTTAAAAGACGTCTTTTCTGTTGATGTAGATACTGAAGGTCTATTTTTTCTGTGGAACCGCTGCGGCCAACGTTTTAAAAATGGTCTTCTCCTTAGAACGGGAACTTTCTCAATAACGATTAACTTTTAACAAATGCCACATTCCAACAATGACTGAGGGCTTAACGTCAAGGCTACTGCCCTTATGCATCCCAGCCACCAACTTATCCGAAGATGGGTTGCAAATGACTCTGTGTGTGCAACAGCGCAAATCAATAATGAAATTTGCTCGCGATTTTCTCTGATGACACGAGCGGTGATCAAAGTCGTAAATAAATCCGTTGGTGTTGAACCTTCGATTGAGATCAAAATTTAGTCTGTTTGATAAATTTTTCATTGTCGATATAACAGAAAATCTTTTGTTATCTTTTTAATGTGTTAGATAAATTCAAGCTACGGCGAGGTTTTAGTTTCTATGTCAGGTGAGTTTCCCGGCCATCAGGTGCACCTGAAAAATTTACAGTGATTTTTGGTCACTCCGAATTTAACCTATAAACGTCGTGCTGTACGCTTAAGTCTCACTCAAGGAATTATATTCATGATAGTAATTCTTAACACTAATTAGTGGCAGCTCTTGCTTGTTGTGTGACCGCGAGGGCAACGAGAACGTGACAGGAAACGGGTGCATGGAAAATGACTTCATGAGCGGATCAAACGCTCTTTACATGACACTAGGCAATAACTCGTCAACCAAAAAACTTACTAAACTTTGGAATCATATGAAATTTCTTGAGAAGCATCCAACACTCATAAGAAGTTTGAAAGAACCTCTCAGTAGTATTTCTGTGAAAATTCCTGACTACCGAACATTTAGTCCATGAGACTGTCCTGGCTGCTGGGAAGTTAGACTCAGCGTTACATTCATATTTGTGACCTACTCCGCTTCTTAAAACGAAATAAAAAGCTATAAATTTATCTGACGTCCAGTTCCAGCATGACGAATGAAAAGTAAAATAGCATGCATGACCAAGAAATAGATTCGTGACTTACAAATTTAACAAATGATACACCATCTTTTTTTGTTTCTAGTGTAATAAGCTCGTAATTGTATTCAGCTTCGTCGAAACTGCTCGTGTTACCAAGTACACCGTTTTGTTATACGCTTGCGGGAAAATCACAATTTCACAAGAGTTACAGGTGAGTACTGGATTAATGACTAAATACATATAAGAAAAAAAAAAACTTAGGACGAAAGAATCAGAGAAATATGACATTAATTCGTCGTAAGCGAGGGAGAAATAAAAATATCTAGTTTCCCTCGAGGATTCAAACCTCGACATTCAAATTTTATGATCTAAAGCTCCAGTCCAAAGCTACAGAAGCCCTCGTTAGTGAGTCGAGACATTCGCTGGGTTCATATTTGACAAAACTTTCCGCATTCTCCTGGGATCTGAATTGTCGAAAATGTCATGTCTGAAAGTAGATAAAGAAAGCGAGTAAAGTTCAAGCTCCATCGTCAAATGAAGAAATTAAAAACATCGAAATCTACAGGTTTAGAGATTGAATCTTCGAAGATTCTTAGATTCTCTTGATTACACACTCGTAACGGATAAAAAGATTTTTCTTTATTCGACCCCTGAGCAAAAAATTTCTCCCCTTCCTTTATTAGTTTGAATTCGAAGAAGGAATTATTTCTCAATGCTGACACTGAAATAAACATAATAAACATTGAAGTAGCTGATTTATCTTCCCAAGAGAGATTTATGAAACTACAGCATGGCTGATTCCATTGTTATGTGCACCGCTTGAGCTCTTGGTACAATAACATTATAACTCGGAGGTTGTCTTTATCCTTTTTAATTCAGTTTTATATGGCGGAGACTGTCCTTCTCTAGGGAACGGAAAAAATAATTGTGATTTGCGGACAGCTTGTGTCCTCCATTGAAAGGAAAATAACTGACCCTAAGTCTCAATTGCAGGATGAAGTAATAGGAATACAGAAACATTAAAAATATACACAAAATTGGAGAGCAAGGACAAAAACGAAGAAAAAAAAGCACGAGAGCTTTCATGAAGTCAAAGAACAATTTTGATATCTAAACTGGACATTTTTTAAGAGATTTGTTATTTAATCGTGACAAGGGATTATACACTGATCTATTGCTCGTTATTATGAAGCTTTTCATGGTTCCATCGAAATTTTAGTAAAACAAAACGTTTATTCTTGATATTTTCAGGCATGTAAAAATAATAATAACAACTTTTGGAGGATAAACCGATCCAGGGGATGGCGGTTTAACAGGTACTAAACAATTTTCATATTATAAATTACTATAGTATAATTGTTCCGATGAGTAGTCTCGGGGATTATTCAACAATATTCACTGAGCCTGCGGCGAATAATTGTTAATCATGACGCGTAATACCCCGCAACTGGACAAGCCTAATCATGAGCTTAAGAAGGCGTAAGTTCGGCCATGCTTCTTCTCTGGATTGTTAAGGACCCAGACGATGGTTTCGTCAATAAGGGATATATTATACAGAAAAATTATTTATATAAACCAAGAGGTTACCAAAATGAATGAATATGCGAGACTCGTTATGGTTTTCTTTACTTTGACTTACAAGGAGATATATACGTGGCTCCTTTGTATTTAAAACTGTTGGAAAACGTTTTTGTTTGTAAAACAAAAAAATGTCTGGTTAAGAAATTACAAAGTAATGAACCGGCTACAAGTACATCATTTCTTCTTTTTTTTCGACTTCAATGTGGGAAATCCCGAGAGAGCACATCACACCCTCCCGGATAGCTGATCAGAACACAGCTGGATTCGCCTTGGTCTTGTTCGCTCGTGGGTTACACCACATGAAAATAACAAAAAAAAAGACGAGAAATCGGAGTAACGTGATAAAGAGCGATGTAACATGAAAATGAAAAATTAAACCCTAAAATTTTAATCATTACGAATTCTTGATCACGTATGAAAATGAAACTCCGCAAACGTTACCATTTATTTATTTATTATTTTTTTTGACAGCTTTGCAAACATCGTTCGACCTCCTCGAAAATTACTATTAACTTTTTTCTTCAACAATTTAAACTACCCATCTAAAAGGTGATTTCTCGTATTTCGCAGTTCGGTCGGAATTCGGTTTTCTTTGCGCAATGACGAACTACATTAGTTCATGTGTTTACTTCGGAAGGTAAACATTTTGGCTCAGAAAATGCTGATGGTTGCGTAGAATCCTACTCTGAAGGACGCGGAGAATACCACGCCTGTCTAACAGGATAAATTTCTTCATATCCCCTTCAAAATTATATAGCAATAGATTCTTTTATGTCAGCAATGCATTTACAGATATGTTTTAATTTCTCCATAGTTTTGTGATGTCAAAAGGTTTTTTCAGTTTAATTTCGGTTTCAAATGCCCCTATGATCTGGCAGCAAAGTCTCTCGATGTCTTACAAGATCAAGATATACGGAAACCAGCGCTTGGTTCTCAACTTGCTTTTGATATGTAGCTGATAATTGATCTCGATAACCAGAAAGCCGATGTAAATATCAATTTACGCCATTTCTGCAGCTCCCAAAATACCATCTTATTCAGAGCATTTTGGATTAAAATAAATTAGAAATGAAAAAGGAAGAATTTTCCGAAAACACATTTTGTCACGGGTTAGTGGCTTCCGGTCATTCATGATTACTTAGCTCCCTTTAGAGGAATATTTGTGGAATATTTTACTCGCTGAAGCCTTTGTCACACTTTGGAAAAACGCACTGATAACTCTGATTCACGAGAGCTCTGGAAAATTCGCAGGAAAATAGTAAACCAAATAAAAACCTTACTCTCGCTCTAATTGGTTGATAGGTAAACGCATTTCTTTGCATATTAGGCTGCGGGATTTTGGAAGAAATCGTGACAGTTGTGCAAACCCTTGATTGCGTTTTTAGTTTTTAAAATACGCCATACAATTCGAAGATTCAACAACCCCGTTTCCCGGGAAACCCACAGGCATTTTACTGCCGTCCGTATCCAGAGAGTGGGGAATTTTTTAAGCAAAAGCCCATCACAATAGCATGACGGAGAAAACTTTGAAATTCTCACTCTTTCGTTTTGTCTAAGTATCGGAAAGAGGTTGTTCCCCGCCTTTCTTTTAGGATTGTTTTCATTTTGGTATCCTTTTTTGTCTCGTGAGGATGTTTCCCAGCGCAGTTAAGTTCTATCTTATTTTATTTCTAGCTATGGCGGAGAGTAAACGTCCGACAACAGGCGAAGAACTGGATTTGAACAATGAGATTCGGGTCACAGGTGAGAGAAATCGATAGAAAAACACTGCTACGTGGTAATTTTGAATCGGTTGTAATATTTAGTAGTGGAATAGTTAAGTACATCTTTAGTGGGCATTATTAAGACCAGGGACGGGGAACGGGAAGTCTGGGACCGGAAGTACAGCGGTAATCCCCGTAACGATTCAAAATGGCGGATGACAACACGGAAAAAAGGATCTGGACATCACTTTTGAGCAAGCACTTTTTAAACTCGGTCGTTATAATTAGAGCAACTCGCATGGACTGTAAATAAATTGTTATCAATAATAATTCATTTTAATAAGTTTTACTTTTCATACTTTGCCGTTTTCTCTGGCAATATTAATAATGTTTGTCAAATGATCGAATTTCAGTGACAAACGAAAGTCAAGTGACGTCAAATGACACCAAACTGGAGGAATACGATGATCCATTAAGAGGTGAGAAATAAGTTTCTTTAAAAGACGCCTCGGTGTGGTTTTTAACTCGGCACATTTTTATTAAAGTTTTTTACTTATTCCGTGAGTAACTTTTGAAACAGAAACTATATGTTCGAATTTCAAACTTTATCACCAGAGAAACACTGAATTTTATTGCTGCGTGGGTCACGAACAAGCTGTAGGTGCGAGGTGTACAATTGTATACATATACATGGAATGAAAATCATCGTTAAATCTATTACCGTTCGAAATAAGAGAAAAATGTAATCAAAAAAATAGTATCTTACTCAGTATCAGGGATAAATTTGAATTAAAATCAAAGAAGATGCCGAGAATGCTTCTCATTTACACCACGTACACTTTTGCAGTAGTTTATGAATTATGAATCACTACTATAGCTAAATATATCCTGATACAATTAAAAAAAAAATTTGTGATAAAACGTTTGCAACTAAGGTCGAGAGGAGACTGATCTGAAGACCATTTTAAGTGATTCAAAACATCATCTTAGAGTTAACGGTTTGCAAAACTTTTAGATATCAATAGGGTGAGGGTTTATGGTTGGCGAGCCCATATATACAATAACCGACTGTTTAAAGAGAACGAAAGGCCTGTAAAGGATAGGAATTAGTAAGGGGATCTAATGACAAGAAAACGAAACCTTGTTAAAACGAAATCATTAATGTTAAACCGGTGTGTTCTCAGACATAGCAAGAGTATGTCTCGAGGAAGGTAACAAAGAATACAGACAGGGAGAACCTCAAAACGCGATAAACTCCTACTCGGAAGGTCTTCAAGTGAACTGCGAAGATAAACGGCTGAACGCCAAGCTTTATAGCAACAGAGCAGCAGCTCATTTCCATTTAGGTAAGAATCTTTTTAAAGGAACTGCTAAATTCCCCGTGGAACGTACTCAGTGAAGATAATGAAGGTACAATCTGCACCCATTTTAAACAGGATTTTATCCTCGCCTGCTGTCTTCCCTGCCATTTTTGCATCCTTTTATCGCCTGAATATTGAAATGAAATTGGCAACTTTAATATTTCATGTCGATCACACACACGGAAATTCTCCATTAAATTGAAATTCTCAAGCCAAGTGTCATCGTAATTGTAAGATATTCTTACCGTATGATTATGATAAGCATAATTGCCAAATAAATTGCAAAGCAACCAATATGAATATCGAAACATTCCTATACAGGTTTGAAGACCAACATCTCAGGACTGATGTTGAGCGGAGGTTTATCCGTTCTGTGGTTAGAACTAATTACGCGTCTAATTCACTCAGTATAACATCTTCCATTTCGAATTGTCGCGTCTCAGCCGGTTTACGATTATATCAAGCTAAAACGGAACAATTTAGGTTATGGTGGTTACCCTTCAAAAAGCGCGTATCCTTAAATGAAGGTGGTAGTCCTCTTGCGCGATATCATGTTCTCACTTGCCAGTCGTTGTGACTCATATTCTGCTGACTCGACTACAGAAATAATGGCTCGGCCATCTGCTAAGTTAAGAATCAATGATTTTTTTTTACAAAGACGGATTTTATGGAGGAAAAAAGCGAGGAATCCTCTCAAAAGATGCTTGGAAAAGCAATCAAACATGGGCAAAGCGCTTACAGGGTCATATAGTCTAAAGTGAAGAGAAGCTATAGGAAAACTTAAATTCCCAGATCCAAGTAATCTACTCATATTTTATTCATTGTCTTCAAGGTTGCAAAGAACAATACTTTTTCCGAAATACATCGTTCCCTAAGGGGAATTGAAATTATTTGTAATACAGCATTCAGGAAATTCGGGTATGCATCGGCTTATTCAGCATTGATATGATACCAAGGAAGCGTAGAGCTGCTTCTTTGATAAGTAAACCACAAACTAAAATCAATATGAGGAGTATTTCCCCAAGATGAACTCTGTGAGTTTCTTGTGACCATACTCAGTTGCCAAGTTTAAAATATCTAAAGGACAAGAGGGGAAAAACGAAGGTGTTTGACCACACTCTCTTAACGTCGTATGTAAATTCCCGCATAGCACGTGATGACCACTCACACTTAGTTCCTGGATTCTTTAGGAAACTACGAAGAATGTCTCAATGATGCAACAGTTTCTGTTCAGTTGGAACCCAATTTAATCAAAGCTATTAAGAAAGGTGGGTCTTGCAGTCAAAATTCATCAAACCACTTTGCTGCGGTTTCATCAAGAGAATTGTATGGATTACGGCAGCTGACTGTACCTCTGGTATCAACAATAACTGGCTCGTAAATGCTTGCTATGTAGATAAAAAGCGCAAGTTAAGGTCAGTGAGCTATAAATGAAAATTAAAACCAGTAATGGTTCATTCACACCAAAGAATAAACATGTTTGAAGTCGTTTTGTTAAACACAGTTTAAATTTTTTCTTCATAGACTTTGTATAAACCGATGTTAGTCGACTTCAAATATAACATATTGAAAATGCAAATAAGCGATTGTATGAATTCTATGGAAAATTCAGTTTTTCAGCCCTCTCTTTCTGGTTTTCATTCAGTTAAACCCGGTTTAACTTAAAATGTTTTGCTGATGTGAATGGGTTGTAAGACGATTTTCTGGCTACTTTTGTATGCGGATAGTAATTAATGAATTACCTCACGTCCTTACCTTCTCAGCCGCCAGTGCTTGCGTGGAGCTTTGCTTGTTCAAAGAAGCAAGGAGCTGGTTGCATATGGGATTGGCCGTATCCTTTGACGAGTGTTTCAAACGTGATACGCAAAGAAATGCAAGCAGTGTTCAATAACACCACACTGAGCAGTTAAAAGAAACTAAAATATTTTTAATTATTCCAAAACGTTTCACTTGACAGAAGGAGCATTTTATCTAATTCGCAGAGTTTAAACTGAACGCCCCTCATCAGTATATAGCGCATGTTATTTAGGGGTGTTTGAGAAAAATACCGCGACAGCGATGTTTCAAAATTCTGCAAAATATCACGAGCTTCAATTGAAGGAACGTCCAGGGACGCCAACATTACCCCCAAACTGTCTGGCTCATAGTCCGAGTCGTCATTCTTTCTGGCATAAAATCTTCTTCAGATTCACATCAATTTCCTTGCCTTCGAAGCTCATAATATCCGGACGAATCCGTTTTTCTTCAGCCCACGTCGTCCGAACTGTAGGCCACTAAAAGGTCTTCAAAGTTTTCTTGGTGTTTAAATTTTCTGCATTTTCTGTAAAATTCTTGAAGCTTTTTCGTTTTGCAATCTGGAGATATTTCAGCCATTGTTTCAAAATTAGAATCAGAATCATTTCGGGTAATGTAAAAATGTAAATTTGAAATGTAAGGTTTTAGGATTTGACTGAGATACTTATTTTCTCGCCGAATCATATACCAGAAATGTCTCAGCTTATAGAGTAATACCTCTAATATTTTGATTATTATTTAAATTTTGTACATATCCACTCATCAGTAATTTATTCTTAACCCGTTTTAAGATTGACAAGAATAACAAACCTCTGCTCCACTTACTGAGCAAATCTCAAATATTAATAGAGAGCCACGAGCGTGTTATAGAAAATGCCAGGGTAGAGAGAGAAAAGACCGAAGAGGGAAATCGTTGTAACCTTCTAGGAATAGCTCATCATAATCTAGGACAGTTCAAAACAGCAATCGATTACCATCAACGTCATCTAGAAATTGCTAAAGAAGTGGGAGACAAGGCCGGAGAGGGAAACAGTTATGGCAATCTCGGCTGCGCTTATCGTGGTCTAGGACAGTTCAAAACAGCAATCGATTACCTTCAACGTCGTCTAGAAATTGCTAAAGAAGTGGGAGACAAGGCCGGAGAGGGAAACAGTTATGCCAATCTCGGCTGCGCTTATCGTGGTCTAGGACAGTTCAAAACAGCAATCGATTACCATCAACGTCATCTAGAAATTGCTAAAGAAGTGGGAGACAAGGCCGGAGAGGGAAACAGTTATGCCAATCTCGGCTGCGCTTATGGTGGTCTAGGACAGTTCAAAACAGCAATCGATTACCATCAACGTCATCTAGAAATTGCTAAAGAAGTGGGAGACAAGGCCGGAGAGGGAAAGAGTTATGGCAATCTCGGCTGCGCTTATGGTGGTCTAGGACAGTTCAAAACAGCAATCGATTACCTTCAACGTCATCTAGAAATTGCTAAAGAAGTGGGAGACAAGGCCGGAGAGGGAAACAGTTATGCCAATCTCGGCTGCGCTTATGATAGTCTAGGACAGTTCAAAACAGCAATCGATTACCATCAACGTCATCTAGAAATTACTAAAGAAGTGGGAGACAAGGCCGGAGAGGGGAAGAGTTATGGCAATCTCGGCTGCGCTTATGATAGTCTAGGAAAGTTCAAAACAGCAATCGATTACCATCAACGTGATCTAGAAATTGCTAAAGAAGTGGGAGACAAGGCCGGAGAGGGAAACAGTTATGCCAATCTCGGCTGCGCTTATGTTGGTCTAGGACAGTTCAAAACAGCAATCGATTACCATCAACGTCATCTAGAAATTGCTAAAGAAGTGGGAGACAAGGCCGGAGAGGGAAAGAGTTATGGCAATCTCGGCTGCGCTTATGGTGGTCTAGGACAGTTCAAAACAGCAATCGATTACCTTCAACGTCATCTAGAAATTGCTAAAGAAGTGGGAGACAAGGCCGGAGAGGGAAAGAGTTATGGCAATCTCGGCTGCGCTTATGGTGGTCTAGGACAGTTCAAAACAGCAATCGATTACCATCAACGTCATCTAGAAATTGCTAAAGAAGTGGGAGACAAGGCCGGAGAGGGAAAGAGTTATGGCAATCTCGGCTGCGCTTATGGTGGTCTAGGACAGTTCAAAACAGCAATCGATTACCTTCAACGTCATCTAGAAATTGCTAAAGAAGTGGGAGACAAGGCCGGAGAGGGAAACAGTTATGCCAATCTCGGCTGCGCTTATCGTGGTCTAGGACAGTTCAAAACAGCAATCGATTACCATCAACGTCATCTAGAAATTGCTAAAGAAGTGGGAGACAAGGCCGGAGAGGGAAAGAGTTATGGCAATCTCGGCTGCGCTTATGGTGGTCTAGGACAGTTCAAAACAGCAATCGATTACCTTCAACGTCATCTAGAAATTGCTAAAGAAGTGGGAGACAAGGCCGGAGAGGGAAACAGTTATGCCAATCTCGGCTGCGCTTATGATAGTCTAGGACAGTTCAAAACAGCAATCGATTACCATCAACGTCATCTAGAAATTGCTAAAGAAGTGGGAGACAAGGCCGGAGAGGGAAACAGTTATGCCAATCTCGGCTGCGCTTATGATAGTCTAGGACAGTTCAAAACAGCAATCGATTACCATCAACGTCATCTAGAAATTGCTAAAGAAGTGGGAGACAAGGCCGGAGAGGGGAAGAGTTATGGCAATCTCGGCTGCGCTTATGATAGTCTAGGAAAGTTCAAAACAGCAATCGATTACCATCAACGTGATCTAGAAATTGCTAAAGAAGTGGGAGACAAGGCCGGAGAGGGAAACAGTTATGCCAATCTCGGCTGCGCTTATGTTGGTCTAGGACAGTTCAAAACAGCAATCGATTACCATCAACGTCATCTAGAAATTGCTAAAGAAGTGGGAGACAAGGCCGGAGAGGGAAAGAGTTATGGCAATCTCGGCTGCGCTTATGGTGGTCTAGGACAGTTCAAAACAGCAATCGATTACCATCAACGTCATCTGGAAATTGCTAAAGAAGTGGGGGACAAGGCCGGAGAGGCATCCTCGCTCTATTCTCTTGGAAGAAGTTTTGAGTGCCTAGGAAATCTCAAGAGGGCCTTTGACTGCTTTCACTCTTGTGTAGAGGGGTTTGATAGTATCAGGGCCGGTCTGCAATTGAACGATCAGTGGAAGATTTCTTATCGTAATCGGCATAAAAATGCATACACAGGCGTGTGGCGTATAAACCTAATTCAAAATGACGCTCTCAAAGCTCTTCTTGCCGCAGAAAAAGGACGTGCACAAGCTCTAAAAGATCTGCTAGACACAAAATATCACCCCCGAGATTCTTCAAGGAACAGCGGCTCGTTCCCTACCCTGAGTTTTGTTCCATTAGGTACAGTTTTCATGGCTATCAGTGGACCGTGCGTTTACTACTGGGTTTTCCTTAGCGACGATAATGTCCAGTTGAGAAAGGTACATGTCAACAATTATAAGTATCAGGAGGAATTGGAATTTTTCATCCAGCAACTGAACAAAACTGCCTTGAAGGAGATCGATGCAAGAGATGCTGTTAAATGCGAAAATCCTTCCCATGACTCGCCGAAAGCGGCGGAAATGGCAAACAATATGATTCAAATTGATGTAAGGTACTCACAATCAAGTGCTCTACAGAAGCTTTATGACATCATCGTTACTCCTATTGCTGATCTGATCGAAGGCAACGAGCTTACAGTTGTTCCTGAGGGACCATTTTGTCTTGTGCCTTATGCAGCATT